GATCATATTTCCAAATATTAAACACACAGCAGAGCTGGTAAAGGGGGGGAAGGGAGAAGACAAAGGAAAACAGGTATGTGAACAATAAGGCAAGATTTGTCTTTTGATGATCTGCAAAACCATCCCTGGAAGAGTTCAAGGCCAGGTTGGCTGGGGCTTGGAGCAACCTGAGAGAGTGGCAGGGGTCCCTGCCCATGGCAGGGGGTAGGAATGAGGTGAGCTTTTTGGTGTCTTCCAAGTCATTTTATGATTCTATTAACTACAAAACCATCCTCTTGGAAAACACAGGGAATCCCACAGCCTCCCCTCTCTCCCTTTTGCTGTGTGAGATGCACATTTATGGATGAAGGATTTTGATTTAGCTCTTTAACAATTTTAAACCACCTATGTCCTATCTCTCCTAAAACCTGCACACACCTGGGGCACAGCACTATTTTAGCAAAATCCTCTCTCTTTGGGGAATGCACTGTTCTCCTCTCCAGAAGCCACTAGAGGGCATTGGCCAACCAAGGGAATGTCACACACGGTTATCACCGACTGCTAAAGGAGTTTTTTGGGCCAAGAGTGATAACGTGCCATGTCTCAGCCCTGAACTCTGCCCTCTGTGTTTGCTTGCAGACCCACAGATAAGCAATGACACACAGGAGCTGCTTTTCACCCCTGTTTCCCAGAGCTTTGCTCTGCAAACAGTTAAATCTTCCTTATTATGGCAAATGAAAATGAAACCAGGGGTGTTTTCTGAAGGAGCAAAGTCCTGGCTGTATTCTTGGCTCCCAACTTTATTACACTGCACTTGGCAGTGTCTCCTGGGTGCTCAGTAGTTTGGCAGTTCCCCTCTTCTCTGACAAATTAAAAAACCCTGAATCTCATTTTTCCCACCCCTTAATGGTGCTGAATGGCTCTCGCTCCTTTTAAGACAGCATGTGTGATTTCTGCTGCTACACCATAGAATCACAGAATGGTTTGGGTTGGAAAGGGTCTTAAAGTTATCATCTAATTCCAGCCTCCCTGCCATGGACAGGGACACTTCTGAAAGAGCCTGGGTGTGCTCTGTCCCAGGAATGTCCCTTCTAAGAACACTCAGCAGCCAAATGGCAGGAGCTCGCTGGCACCTGAGACCTTGCCTGACTGTATTCAAGTTTCTCCTTCAAAAATAAGGAATTAAAAAGACACAAGGTCAAAGATTTTTTGAGAAATGACAGCTTACAAAAGGAGCCTCCCAAACAACTTCCAGAAATTACTCGGATGCTGAGAAGTGAACTATTTCTGTGCCTGATGCCTGGGCTGGGGGTCTAACCCTGTGTGCTTGGTGTGAGGGGGGTTGGGATGTCACAGGGGGTCCCAATTGCTCATCAGCCTCTGTCCCTGGCCAGGGCTGAGCAGAGCTGGGAATCACTGGGGATGTTCCTGCTGCTGGGACCACACCAGGAGTTTAGGGAGTGTGCACATGCCTTGCCACAATCCAAACCCCCCAGCCATCCCCTGTTTGTCCCCTGATGTGACAGCAGTGACAGGCTGTCCCTGCTTCTGCCCTCAGCTGTGCAATGACTCCTGTGTTCTCCACAGGGCATCAGCTGCTTGGAAGCTCTGGCCACAAGCTGCCCTGAGATCCAGGCTGGACATTGCTCCTTTAAATCCTTCCTCCACACAAACAAGTCCTGGACCTGTTCCTACAACTGCCAGGAGGAGAAACCTCAGGCTGTACCCACAGGAGCAGGAGAATCAGGTGCTGGAGACACACAGCTCTAATTCAGGGTCATTATCACGTCCCCGGTGCCAAGAGCAGGGTTTTCTTTCTGTGTTTTGCTGACAGGAACAGCTTGTGCTGCTCAGCCATGATTTATTGTGTAGGATAAGAGGGAGGCAGGAGCTGGCAGCACATGGTCAGGGCATGTGTGCCTCTCCTGTGCCTCCTTTCCCTCTCACCATCCAAGTGCCTGGCTGGAGCTGTGTGTTCCTCAGCACTGCTGGGCAAAACTCTGATCCCAGGAGCCCACCTTGGAAAGCCTGTGGAAAATGCAGAGCTCCAGAGGATTTACTGTGTGGAGAATGATAGGTTTAACAGCAATATATTATCCAGTGGTACTGGGGAAACACAACTGGGCAGTGTTATAATGCTCATAGGAATGTCCACCTCTTTTCCCCCAAAACTGAGAGGTGAGGGTGCAGCTGAAGCAGGGAATCAAGCAAATTTTGGAAAACTGGTGCTGCCCACGTGTTTATGGAGAGCAGAAAAAGGAGATAACCGTAGCAACAAGAGAATTAGTTCCTGGGGGCTGGCTCTGCCAGGTGTAGGGTGCTCCTTTCCCCCAAAACTGAGAGGTGAGGATGCAGCTGAAGCAGAGAATCAAGCAGATTTTGGAAAACTGGTGCTGCCCACGTGTTTATGGAGAGCAGAAAAAGGAGATAACCGTAGCAACAAGAGAATTAGTTCCTGGGGGCTGGCTCTGCCAGGTGTAGGGTGCTCTGGTGAGGTGTAGGGCTGGCTGCAACACTTTGAGATATTTTGGGAGGGGAGGCTGCTGATGCTGGGAAACAGGGGATGCACAGATCAAATATAGGGGTCAGTGCCCTTAGAAAAGTCTGAGAAAGTTCTATCCCATTATATCCATCCCATCCTTCTGTGTCAAAGGGGCACAGCTCTCCTGAGGTCCCTTGTCATGTCACCACCCCCATGGGGATGTCTTCATACCCTCGAGCACCTCGGCTGGCCCAAAATGCAGCAGAGCTGGGGAGCTTTCAAGTCACACAGAGCTGAGCTCAGCAACAGGGCCCCCAGCCACACCATGGCTGCAAAAAATGTTCTGGTGACAGACATCTCCTCACCCAAATCCTGCCCTGGCACTGCTGTCCTTTATCAGGATAACCCCAAAATCTCTGCAGCTGAAATCACTCCTTCACCAATCAATTCTTGCTCACTAGCAGCAAAAGTGATGGATATTTGGGAGTGTGGCTACGAGGGGCCCTGTTGCCTCCTGACAGCCATTCAGCCTTAATTACCAGAGAGTGCTTTGGGATGCTCTGACTATGAAAAGCACTTAGGTACCATTAAGTTCCCATCTCTATTTACTCCAAAGTAGTAGCCAAGTATTTATTTCCAGGGTAATGTAATAGATAATAGTTTCCTTTGCAGAGGATCTCAGGGGAGCAGGTTTGTTTTGGAGGGAGAACCTTGAATGTTATTAATTCTGTAATGTTTTAGCCCAGTGTGTGGCTCATGTGGTCTGCAGGGAATCTCAAGTTTTTCAGCCTTCTCAGCTGGGCTGACTAAAAGCCTTTGTGTTTGTGACAGAATATTTCAGCTCTGTGGTTGCAGGTATTCTGGTTTTGGTGGGTTTCATGCACTTACTGATGTAATGGAGTCAGGCATGTCCAGCACATTTTGTCCTCACTCAGCTTCCCTGCTCAAAATAGAGGTGCATCCATGGGGGGTGGGGGGGTTTTGAGCATTTTCCTTCTGGAGATGGTTTCACTCAGCTGAGGATGTGTGTGCCAGGCCAAGCCCCAGGACACCCCATCCCTCCTCCAAACCCCAGTGGGCCATTTAAACTGTATTTTGTTTTCTTTTACTATGATATCTTAGTGAGATATGTGGTGTGTCTGGGCCCAGAGAGGAGGACAAGCATTGCCCAGGAGCGATTTGGCCAGCTGAGAGGCTGGGACGAGGCAGCTGCCCAGTAGATGGCAATACTGCCATTCATTCAGCAGCAGGCTGGGAGGGGTAAAACAAGCTGATGGGATTGTGTGGATTAAGCAGCCCTGGAAATTCCCAATGGTTGCAGCTGTGGAGGAGAATCATAGAGTCATCTCCTGGTTTGGGTTGAAAGAGACCTTAAAGATCATCCAGTTCCCACCCTCTGCCATGAGCAAGGACACCTTCCACTAGACCAGATTGCTCAGACCTTTGTCTATCCTGGACTTGGACAATTCCAGGGATGGGGAGTCCAGAACTGCTCTGGGCAGCTCTCACCACCCTCACAGGGGAGAATTTCCTTCCAGTATCTAATCCAAACCTTCCCTCTTTCATTTGAAAGCCATTGTCCCTTTTCATTTTAAAACCATTGACCCATCACTTCGTGCTCTTGTCCCAAGTCCCTCTCCAGCTCTCCTGTAACACCTTTTGGCTCTGGAAGGGGCTTTAAGGTCTCCTGGAGCCTTCCCTTCTCCAGGTGAACACCTCCAGCTCTCAGAGCATCCTCATGGCCCGGAAGCAGCAGTTTATCACAGTTTCTCTGCCGAGAGGAGTTTACCTTTCCCTTGAAGCGTGGGGCCAGAGGAGTTTCTGGGCTGGCTGGGGACGGTCCCCTCTGCGAGGTGCTGCTGTTAGAGCCGTGCCCACCCTGCTCTCACAGAGCTGCGCCTCGGAAGGGGTTAAACCAGCTGCAACCCACAACTTTTCTCGGCAGGGCTGCAAGCAGCCAGCTGCCTGCACAGAGAGCTGTCCCAGCCCGGCGACACCCAGCTGGCACTCCCGCCCCGTTTGGCACCGAGCTCCTTCCCATCCCCGGCACCGCTGATTCACCGACCCCGAATAAACCCGCTCTCCCCACCTTGCCTGGGGCTTCACCACCCTCTTTATTTCCATTTATTTCCCTTTCCTTTCCCTGTTACTCATCGCTGGGTGCCGAGGTGCCAGACTCCAAAGCGTTCTGTCCCCTTCGGGGTGGCGGAGCTGCTCCGGAAAAGGGATGAGTCACTTGGCGACCCGGGGACGGGAACAGGCTGTGACGCCAGCCTCGGTGACTCCACAGCTGGCGCCGTGCGGGAATGAAGAGTCCCGAGCTTTTCTCATAAAATGACGGAGAGGATGGACTTTAACTCCGTCAGAGGAAAATTGAAAAAAACCAAAACAAAACAAAATAAAACAAACAAGCTAGGAGCTGCAGGGCAAGGTGAGGGCAGGGGTGTTGGAGGCAGGAGATTTGGAAAAAAAAAAAAAAAATATATATATATATATATACTTTTTTTTTTCAATTTTTCTTTTTTGTGGTTTGGCTGATAGAGGCAAAAGGGCAGGTTTGTAAACCGTGTCTGAGCCAGCGTGACACTGCAGTAGGTAAGGAAGCCTTAGATCTTCTGCAGAGGCAATAAAAGCATCCCAGGTGATGCATTCCCGGGGCTTCCAGACCCCTCTCACTGCAACAGGCATTTCCTCTGCCCATCCAAGAGCGTTTTCCGTGGAATTCAGCAGACGTTTGCCAGAGCTGAGGCTTTAACTCAGACCTGGAGGTCAGCTTGGCATTCCCAGGGAAGGGGCACTGCAGAATGGCCAATTCATGTTCTCATTTGAGTTTTAGTCTTTCACTGGGATGGGAAAAAAAAAACAAAAAAAAAAACAAGGTCCTGCATCTGGGTCAGGGCAATCCCAAACACAAACACAGGTTTGGTGGAGAATGGCTGGAGAGCAGCCCTGGGGAGAAGGACGTGGGGGGGTTTGTGAAAGGCTGGACACAATCTGGCGATGTGCCCTGGCAGCCCACAAGCCCCAGCCACATTGTGGGCTGCATCCAAAGCAGCCTGCCTAAAGGAGCTGGAGAGGGACTTTGGACAAGGGCACGGAGTGATAGGACAGGGAAGCTGGCTTTAAAGTGACAGAGGGCAAGTTTACATTAGATATTAGGAGGAAATTAATTACTCTGAGGGTTGTGAGGCCCTGGCACAGGTTTCCCAGAAAAGCTGTGAGTGCCCCATCCTTGGAAGTGCTCAAAACCACACTGGGTGAGGCTTAGAGCAACGTGGTGAAGTGAAAGGCATCAGGAGAGGGGTTGAACTAGGTGGTCTTTAATATAATCCCTTCCAACCCAAAGCATTCCAGGACCGTGATTCCCTGTGGGGATGCCCATGGCAGAGGCTGGGTGATGAGATGCAGCACCCTGGGGCTGTTTCAGCACTGTCCTTTGGGGGTGATGGGTCCCCTGGTGATGATGTCTTGTGCCAGGGCATGACACAAAGTCATCACCATGAGCCAAAAACCCACCAGTGCTGCAGCTGGAGCTGTATGCTGGGAACTATTCTGCTCCCAGTCAGAAAATCAGTAATGTAAGAGGGAAATACAGAGATAAACCCCATAAAAGAAAAAAAAAACAACCCACAATCAAACACATCCCTCTGGGTGGGTAAACAGGCTGAGCTTCACTGTGTGCTGCAGAACCTCCATGGATGAGCCTCTTTTCAATATTTCTGCTTTTACAGCCCATCAAATAATTTGTAACAAATAGTTTATTCAATTAATTGAGCTTCTCTGCTCTGGGGGCAGATGGCAACCTTTAAAAATGGATTCCCAATGGAAAACTAGACAATGGCATTCTTTGGCCAATTTCCCTTGCTTTCAGGTCAATGGCAGTGGTTCTGATTTATGCCTGTGCTGACAGCCACAGACCCATGGGAGAGGTGTGCTTTTCCCCATCTAGATTCCCGGCATTTATTCATCTTTTTTCCTTTGTACCATGGGCTGCTGCTTCACATGCTACTCTCTCCTTTCCGTGCTGTTGCCATGACCAAGAGGATTTTTTCTGTTTCTCCCAGGGGCACAGGACCATGGTGATGCTTCTGTCCAGCTGCATCCTTCCAGGTCCCAGGGCAGCCATGGGGCAATGAGAAGTGGTTTGTAAACCAGGAGGGAAAGTGGTTTCCAGGCTTTCCCAAGATTCCTCCTTGGTGATGTCGATGCTGCCATGACTGTTGTCTATTCCACCATCCCTTAAGAGACCAGCAGCCACCATCCACAAGCCCAAGAAGTCTGGGAAAACCACATCCCATGCACTGATTTTTTTACTTTATTTAGGAAAAAGAGAAAAGGTTATTGTGTCACACAAAGGACATTAGTAAAGACACCGCCATATTCAAACAAAATTCTTTTATTGAAAGTGTAATGGAAATTTCTTCATATTGCTTTGATGAAATGAGAGACAGCAGCTGTAGACAAATATGCTTTTTTTATAAACAAATGCAAATGGATAAGGTAAAAATAAAGCATTTTTTTAACTTGTACCTTTAAGCAACATAATCACAATATATACACAAAGAAAGCTAAAATAAAGCTATGTTGAAACCAAAGTGTTTCAACCAATACATTAGATAATTACAGATTGTGTCAATAAATACCCAGTTTTTAAACTGTTTAACAGGCAACTTTTTACACAGATACCGAGAAGAAAAAAAAATTATATATTTACAATTCAGTGCCCTGGGGGGAAAAAAAAAAGAGAAAAAAATATTTTTTTTCTTTTTTGGCACCAACACAAATAAAAAGAATAAATTACTGAAAAAAATCCACAAGGCAGGAGTCAATCCCAATAATTCATTTTAAAAAAGTATGTGTGTGTGTGTATATATATATATATATATAAAATATAGGCATATATTTTATATATATATAAATATATATGCAGAGAAACCTAGGAATGTTACAAAATACATTAGTGCCAATAAATACAGAACGCTACCAGACTTTCAACTGTCAGTATTTTTGATGCAGTCTGAAGGATGAGGAACTACCACCTAGGAGATAACCGAAAAGGGGATTTTTCAGTCTAAAGAAACAATGACGACAATGAAAAATAATAATAATAATAAAAATAATAATAATAATAACAATAATAATAATAATAATAATAGATATATCCAGGAAATCCTCCATCTGCCAGTAGTATTCCTACAGTCGCCCCGGGGGCGATGCCTTGCGGGAGGAAGCGGCGGCGAGCGCGGGCTCAGGACCCGCTCGCGGCCGTGGGGAGTCAGCTCCACTTCCAAGTTGACTGGCTCAATACCAGAGAAGATGTACAATTAAATAGCAACAATAATGATTTTAAAAAACCCCAAGCAACCCACGTTTCGTACGCCAGAAGTTCCCTAAATTGCCGGCAGGTTTGCAGTGAGGCACCTGTCGAAGAGCAGGTATCCAAAAGCACCATCCCTGTGGTCGGGGTTAGAAACAGTTCAGCCAATGGAAAAATCCTGAAATCCATGTTTCGGGGTTGGTTCCCTTGTCTGTGTGTCTCTGCAGCCCCAGAAGTTCCCTCCAGCTGCTCCCAGGGCAGCAGGGCTGGGGACACCAGAACTGTCTCCTCCTCCTGTGCTGGTAATGCCAGGAATCACTCCCATCACCAAATTTTCCAAGGGGGAATTTAAAGCCGGTAGGTTTTAAATCCGTTTTGCTTTTTCCATACCACTGGTATAGGCACTTAGTGTATCACTGATGCACAGATTTTTTTGTCCAGTTACATCTCATGGCCAAACAGTGTCATGCTCTCAGACTGGCTTAAATAGCAAAAGGCCAAGGCAGCCTCCAGTATCCATCCTAAACACAAAGATTTCTTTCTTTTTTTAAACCAAAAGCCTTCAGTTTTTCAGCTTGGACTTCAGGTGTCCAAAAACTGTATTCACAGGATAAATAACCCCAAAAAAATTCATATCCATTTGTTTTTCTGGAATTACTCAATTCACCTATATAAAAATATAGTACAATCAGTGTGACCCACTGGATTTTGGAGCTGCAACATCCTCAGTGCTGGGGAGTCCCAAGGGGCACTTGGGCACTGTTGCTGTTTTGGCTTTGCTCTCCCAGAGCCCCCCACGAGGGCTGCCAAGGTCCTTATGGTTCCACCTCCCCACCACTGCTGACAGTTCCTCTGCATATTCAGGCACCATAACTGATAGGGAAAGATCTCATGGCCAAATCCATAGGAAATTAAATAAATTATAAAATAATTTACAAAAAGGGGTTGGGTTTTGTTTCGTGCTAGTATTAAATGTTACTACTTAAATAGTTGAAGGTTTTGCTTGCTTTGCTCTCCACAGTGGCATTATGGAGACCAAACACCATTCTCATGTCTACAACAAGGCTGGGAGAAACCAAGGGGTGTTGCACAAACTCTTCCCTCGTCCCTCCCCTCCCATACCACTTCTGTTCAGTGTTTTTAGAAATGTGAAGAGAAGACCAAACAGCCAACATCATTCAGACTCAGAAAAACCAGGGTCATCTTCCTCTTGAAGACCTTATTGCCCTTCCAGGTCATCGACAAACCACAGTGCTATTCACGTACTACAGGTAGAAAATAAATAAATACAGATATATTATGCAAAAAAATATGATTGTACACATAATACATCTGAGGTATTACCAATTTAAATAAGGTTTCATGCTAGTTCAAGCTTCAGTGGCTAGTTAAATTCTGGAATTTGCAATAAATAGACGAAGAATGATTATGTATATAGTGTATGGATCTCTTCTGTAAACCTTGTCAGATTTAAACGTAAGAGTGTGTTGGGCCGACTCTTACGCAAACCACAAATTTTCACAATAAATACAGCTTCAAAAAGTTGCCTTAAAAAGTTCCTGCAACACTGAAACGTTTCTAGAAGGGGCTGTATGGACGACTGGCAACGTTAGCGAGGAGATTTTCTCAACAAGTCTTTTCGTACAAAACACAAGGAAATTCTCATGTGAAAGTCTTTCTCCCTCCCTCCCTTCCCCACCCCGTCATGAAAGTTTAGAAATTTTTGCACAAACAGCAAGAGAACTGATTGTAGCTGCAGTATGTCAAAACGTTCATGTTGTATAAAGACCAAAAATAGTTAATTTGCTTAGAAAGTCTTCTGCTGTTGCTGTTTTTTCCTCCTTATATTTGAGTAGCACACCATCCCTTCAGTGAAAGTTTGCCTGTCCAACTGTTCCTCCATTTTCCTTTTGGCATCAGTCCTTGCCTGAGCCACATCAGTGTTTCACACCTTCACTGTCTCCATCAGCGATGACTTGATGGCATCCTCCAAAAGTTGATTGTCTGTGAAAGGGGCCGGGGTTTCAGGGACGGATTCAGACAGACCAATGAGGGACTCCAAGAAACAGGAACCCTGATCTCCAGTTTGTGGGAAGCCAGGGAAATTAGGCAACTGAAACTGTAACGCTGAGAAGTTATCCAGGTTCTCATACTCCTTTAAGGAGTTGTAAAGAGGTCCCAAGTTATAGTCCGAGAAGGACTGGAAGAAATCCAAGGAATCAGAGGAAAGGCTGAGGTCGGCGTAGCTCTTGGAGCAGGGCTCAGTGGAGGAGGAGGCGCAGCAGGACAGCCCATCGCACCTCCCCTGGGCTGCATCCTCCAGCAAACCCCCGCTGTCCTGGTTGGCATTCTCATCCAGGCACTCCGAGAGGTGGGACAAGTGGCCAGGGACAGGCTTGGCCTCGCTGCCGTGGTCCTCAATGAAGAAGTCAGTGGGATGGAAGCAGCCAAGGTCATCCTGGCCACGCCTGCTCTCTTCCTCCGCGTCCGAGTCGTTGAAGTGGAGGATGCGCGCCAAGCCGTCGTCGTCCACGTCCGACTGGGATTTGTCGGAGGGGAGGCTCTCGTAGGGCTCCTCCAGGTCCTCGCTGGGGTGGGAGGAGATGGAGGAGTCTGTCATGTCACTGCTGCAGCTGTTCTCCCCCAGGGCCTCCAGGTCGGGGCTGAACTGGAAGGCAGGTGCCAGCGGCACCGCGCGCTCCTCCAGCGAGCCCTTCCCTGCCGCGCATCCCAGCGCAGGGAGCCGCTCCCGGAAAGGCGGCTCGGCCTCCGCCACCTTCTCGCTGCTCTGCTGCTGCTTCTCCAGCTCCAGCTTCATGATGGTGTGGATGAAATGCGTCTGCACGCGGGCCTGGTTGAACTCGATCCTGCCCTCGGTGTTGCCACAGCCGTCCTTGGTGCAGCCGCAGGGGAAGGAGGTGTGATCCATCTGGCAACAGGGAGAAGCAGAGGGGGAGGGTTAGGGTTGAACCCAGTGGCGTAAAACCAAAACTGCCCATGACTCCTCTGCCCTGAGAAACTAAGTAACAGCTGAGGGGTTTAAAACAGTAAGAAAAAAAAAAAAAGACACCCTGCTCTTTTGAAGAGGTGTCATAAAAAGTTGGATTTCAGTACAAGTGCAGAAAAAAGATTCTTTAAAAAAAAGCAAAACAAAATAAACAAAATGTTCCAAAAGGAGAAATAAGGGAGCAAAACTGAGTTTTTTCGTTATTGCTGTTTAATGATTTCACTATCTGATCTGCAGCAGCCACTAGAGGGGGGCTGTGACACACACATGGAGCACCCATGTGCACCCACCTACGCCACCCCCAGCCTCCAAACACGGCACCGAGGGAGCAAGCAGTGCCCAGAATAGGGAATGAGGTTCCCTAAATACAGCTGGGCAGGCACCCGCAAAAAATACCCTGAAAAATATAACTCACTAATTGAATAGAGGGGGATTATCCCGCTGTGCAGGTGGCCTGCACAGCTCCGCTGTGGGCTGACGCTCAGCTGACACTCCCACGTTCGCCTGAGCGCACTGGGATTTGTGACACACACCAGAAGAAAAAGGAATTAAAAATAAAACCTGGGGGAGGGGGAGAAAGCGCAGCCTCGTGTGAGGAGCAAGGAGCTCTTCCTTGCAGACATTCCCACGTGGCCCACCTCCAACAGGAGATCGAGCAGGTATGGATCTCGTGGGGATGTACAGCGGGGACATTCTCATTGCAGTGTGGGGATGGCTGAGCGTGTGATTTGGGAAGAGAACACTTTCAAGCAGTGCCTGCCTTGCAGCCTGAGGGATGCTCCAAGAGCTTTCCTCACCGCCAAGCACAGGTGGGAGCAGATGGATTTACAGGCTGCCCCAGCTCTGTCCAACCTGCTCACACCCCCCGGCTCCAACACACAGCTGGAGCCGCAGCATCCCCCACGCCCGGAGGTGAGGCTGTACCTGACATTTAATGCCTGCCAAGCTGCAGCTGCAGGTCTCGGGGTCGCAGACCTCGCGGCAGTCGCAGCCGCAGTCCTCCCGGGACAGGCGGATGTTGTGCAGCTCCCGCTTCTCCTCCTTGTCAATCTTCTTCACCCCCACGGCCTTCAGCAGCGCGCGCCTCTTCTTGGCGGGGTAGGGCTGCAGGAAGAAGCCATCCTCCAGGTCCACGCTGCTGACGTCGATGTCGTCGTCGGAGATGTCCTCGATGGTGAGCTGGTTGGCCTCTTCGGACTCCTTGGTGCCGTTCATGGTTAGCTGAGGGCACAAAATGGACAAAGCTTTAGAGGCTTGGTTGGGACTCAGAGCCATTGGAAACAAGAAAGGAATGAATTCTCCCCCATGGTGGCCAACCTCAGAGCCCACAAAGACCTGACACCTGACTGGGGATGTGTCCTGGGATACCAAGTATCTAAATGAAATGAAGAGACTTTGGGAGATGCCAAGAAGAGTCTCAAGTGGATCCCAGCACAGAGAGGTACTACCAAAAGAGCAAAAATGTCTTCTGTGTCTTTTCACTTTTCAAAGGTGGAGAAGTAAATGAAAATCCCCCTCTGGAGCCTGTGTTTTTTGCAGACCCAAAGTCAGAGCTAAGGATTGGTGCCCCCAGGTCTCAGAGGCTCTTACTAAGTACTGGCCAATTAACCAACAGCATCCACCAGCTCCCCATCAACCCAGCCCCACGCTCCTCACTCACTTTCCATTTCAACGCTTCCAACTTCTCCTCTTTTAATTTCTCTTCGAGTTTTCCCCGACGGACGTTTTCCTGCTCCTTTGAAAACTCTGCCAGTGTGAACTGCCGGGAGGAGCTGTGTTTGCTCACCATCCCCAGGGTGCAGCCC